AAAAAAATAGCACTACTGGTTCTGATATAAAAATTATTGTCTGATATTTAACACTATCACTTGGAATTCACTTTTAGTTTCTCCTACATGTTTACAAAATTTTGTATGATATTGCGTGTGGTAGGTGTCCTTTTTGTTTTCATTTATATTTAGAGTTAGTAAATGAACTTCTAAAGATTTTATCCAGTTTACTGCAGAAACTGCAGTTAATGTTCTCGCAATCTAATACTTTGCGAGAGTTTTTCCAATAAAGCCAGGATTGTTTGCTAAATAACTCAGCTTTTATTAGCTAGTTACTGAGTTTACAACCAGTCATCTATGCAATTATTGGTTGATCTTGAAAAAGTCTGGTAGGCTCAATATGACAATAATAGATTTCAGTAATTATGAACTATCCAGCCAGCTTGCCTTTTGAAAGCCTGTTAGCATTGTGGTAGGAGAGCCTCGTTTGAATTTAAATAAATTGAAGACATGTTTTTCAAAGTTCGATTGTTTTGTACAGATTCTTCTAATACTTAATTGACTAAACAGACCGTTTTTATAGTGATACGGATGGTAGGTATCATATTGTAGATAACAATGTTTATCTATTGGTTTACAGCACAAATAAAATATTATTGTGCTATTTTCACGAATAACTGTAGTATCTAGGAATGCGATTTTGTCCTTAGAATATTCCATTGTAAACTTAATAGTTTAAGAGAAACTATTTAAGTACGAGTGTAATTTATTTAATTCCAATTTAGAACCAATCTGTATCATACAAATATCATCAATAAACCTTAGGTAAATATAAGGTTTATAAGCTAGTTACACCTAAATATTAAATATAAACGAGTGACCTCCATCCATGTATAGGTATAGATGTTCAAGCAATGAAGATTCTTTTAATAAATATTTAACTGTTTTTTTTATTTACCTTGACTTGACAGTCTTACATATTCAGTTATTCTCCCTGCCACTAGGTCAAGATCATAACAAAGAATAAGCCAGTGCTACACTCTAAAGATATTCTGATGAAACTCTGTCAGGTCTGTGCCTTAGCATACATGTCTCCTAGCTGTCAGTCATTGGTAGGGGAAAGGTCACAAGACATGCATATTATGTGCCATTTGTGGAACTCTTGTTTTGAGAAGTTGTAAAGTTTGTACCAATATAAGTAAACAAGAAAATATACTTTTTGCAAACTATCATGTTTTTGTCTTTGATAAGCAGATCCGATTTTTAATCCAATAATAAAACTGCATAAATTCTCTTCATAATGCAAAAGCACTAAGATTTTTCAGATGTAGTTAAACCCTAACTAGATTTTCATTCAATCTTTTCCAGCCAGTCAGTTATCTTTGGTGTGAAAAATTGACCTTCCAAAACACAACAGACAAATATAAGAAAAAACTTATCAAGTGCAATTTTTAAAAAAAAAAAATCCCTACACCCTAAAGACATTCTGATGAAACTCTGGCCAGGTCTGTGCCTTAGCATGCAAAAGACCCTAGCTGTCAGTCATTGGTAAGGGAAAGGTCACAAGACATGCATCTCCTGTGCCATTTGTGGAACTCTTGTTTGACAAGCTGTAATGTTTGTGCAAATAAAAATAAAAGTACAAGAAAATATTTTTTCACTATAATTTGTTTGGTGTTTGATATGCAGATCTGATTTTCAATCCAATAATAAAAACTGCAGAAATTTCTCTACATGATGCAAAGGCACTCAATTTGTTTCAGATGTAGTTAAACACTAACTAGTTTTTCATTCAATCTTTTCCAGTGGTAATGGAACCTCTGTTCTATGTAACAGAAGTTGGATATGATGGATTTCGTCTCCCAATTTCAATCCACTTGAAGAACACAAAACTGAGGAAGATCAAGCTCAACTATGATCTGATTCTAGAGACACATGAGCCAGTTAGCTATCTTCGTTTTGAAAAACTGACATTTCAAAACCCAATGGACAACTTTACAAAGCAGTTGATCAAAGCTGGAGGGGTATGTAAGAATAAGTTGACCTGTAATTAGTTTTCTTTTGATAATGGAGAAGAATATTCATGTACTGATAAATATATTATATGGCAAATTGATATATATTTATGCATGTCTTTATATTCTAAAATAGGTCCAATTTTTAGCACATGTGTTTCAAACACGATGTAATGAGCAAATACATATATCATATTCAGTCTTTTGTTTTTGCTTTTGTATCATAAGATCAAATAGAAATATTGATTTCATTGGCTAGCTTGCTCATAGATGAGAATATAGGTAAAATAGAGCCATCAGTTTTGTATCCAGACCACTTTTTATTCCAAATGCTGATCATATCCTACTTTTTGCAAAGGTTCACCTGTTGTGTTCAATCTCAGGCCAGAAAAGTCTAAAATCCAGACACAAAATTGGATTCTAGTTTTGGGTATCATTGTAGAGTTACATTTGTCTACCTTTCTATAATACACCCAATTTAGTGCATCTTAAATGACCTTGATGCTACATTTTTATGAATACTTATTTCTTCTGCTAATTTTCCATTGCAGATGCTTGTACAGGCCCACTGGATAAGCCCAGTTTGCAGAGGCAAAGGAAGACAAAAAAAGCTCAAAAAGATGGCAACAAAATAGTAAAGGATGGCAAAAAGACAAGGTCAAGGCTGACAAAAAAGAAGTTGAGATCAAGGCTGATAAAAAAGATGTCAAGGATGAAAAATCAGTCAGAAAGTATAGGAAGTGACTCAGTTATGGACCTTGATATTAGTCCAACTTCCAGTACCAGCAAAACTTCCAACCAGATTTATTCCAGGAGTGCTCTGCAAAAGTTAATGGATGAACTGAAAGATGATTCTTCAGATGACGAAGATGATTTTGTAGACATTTATGATGCTTTAATGCATCTATTCTAATGTACTTAGTTGTAAAGTTTTCTTGCTGTTTAAACATAAGGTTAATTACTGCCACTAAAAGTTCATCAGAGTGTATATATGTTGTGCTCAAACCATGTATTTGTGTTAACTGTGTTATCTAATTTTTATTACTTAGGGCTGTTCCATTTAAACACACATGGTACAAAGGGAAGTCAGTTTTGAAATAAGAAATTTTAATTGCATCTATGGGTGGGTAACCCACATTAAAAGTGCCATCCTATTTACCTTTTTAATGGAACAGCTCTTAGCAAGAATTGGAAATGCCATCACTGAAGGACATGCAATACTTGTCTCTTGCCATGTGAAATATGTTCTTTTGTTGAAGAAGTTGATTGCTCCACCATTGAATGGGAGGAGATATTAGCTGGATAGTCCAGTGTTTGGGTAAAGAATAGCAAAACAGAATGCCTCCAGACCAAACAATAATTAGGCCTAACTAAACAAAATTCAGATTTTGGGTGCATATACAGAGTTAATTTTAATGACAGTTAAGGATATGAGTATTCATTTTCAATATCATTCTGTTGCAAGAGTTTTCATGGTGTATTACATTTTAAAACAAGTCTTTTGAACAAACTTGCATAAATTTAGAAAGAAAAATACTTTTGGCATAAAATTTATCACCAGTGAATGATACATTTTTGAATGATAACAAAATGGTAAAGGATGGCAAAAAAGACACAAAACAAAAAGTGGGGATTATAATGAGCATTTACAAAACAGAGAAATCTTATAAATGCGAGCTTTTGACATCAAAGTCGGGAAAATATGAGATGGACAAATCTCTAAATGACAACAGTGAATAATATTTATGAAACCTGGTGGTTGGTTTATAATTTGGAGACCTTAATATTGATTTGTTTCTGGAATTTTTCCAGAAGCAGGTTAACTTGCAGGTTTATGCTGTCAACAGAAATGTAATGCTTTGTATTGAGGTATTTATATGATCATGTCATATGTACCTTGCTAAATGTTCAATCTACAGCCAAATGTAATATTATTTTTCTGCTAGGTCACTAAGGTTCACAACATTAACATTCTGAACAACAGCTAATTTTTTATGTTATTTAACCTGATCAATGTTATGTAAACATATTTATTGACCAAATAACTCATTAATTATCACTTTGTTGTCTATTCTGAGCAAAACTTTATCCTTGCTACAGCAATTATCTCCTAGGGGCCTCTAAACAATTATGCAAAGCAATTCATGAATCAGCATTAAATGAAGTCTTATTTTTGAAGATAATTTGCATTGATAAATCAACAATTCATTGTCATATTTTGATCATAATTTTATCATGTCTTTGTCCTTTTTAAGCTTAGGATTGTGTGCCATTTTGTTTTACCCAGTGTCTATTGCCAATCATCATGCAACAATCTTAACCCTACTTTTAAGTTCCCTGATATTGTTATGACTATAATCAAGCTCTTTAACCCAACTTGAATAATTTTAAAGAAAAACTTTGGATATATATTCTGTTGATTTAAAATTCCTGGAATTTTGTTTACAAGATAATGAAAATGACTTCAGTCCTCTATGTTTGAAGAAAAAATATTTTGTTAAGTGTTACTTGTCATCCAATGATTGGTTCATAATGATTGTTACTTAGCTAAGTATGATATCAAGTTTGTTGTACTATATCAAGTTTGTTGTACTATTACCATAATTACTATGTAGATAGTGATCAAAGCATATGACAATTGTGTTAAGTAAGATATTTACATTGTCCAGGGAAACATGTATTAATCAAATTAATATTATATGAATTATAAACTTTATCAAAAATACATTTATACAAATTGTCTCTTCTTGTTGTTTTCATTTTTGAATCAGATATAAAATTGCCAAGAGTCAGATAATTACCACATGGTTATGTAGAGCAAAAGTTGCATCCAATTGGAATGTAAGCTGGCATCACTGAAGAGATTTTTTTTAAAAATTTTATTTTGTTAACCAGTGTTAAAAGGAAGTCTAATTTTACATCATTTATTATTATTATTATTATTATTATTATTATTATTATTATTATTATTATTATTATTATTATTATTATTATTATTATTATTATTTATTAACATTTATTAACTGCTCTGGTGGCCTAGTGGTTGGAGCATCCGCCTCAGATGTGGGAGGTCGTGGGTTCAATCCCCCAGTCGAGTCATACCAAAGACGTACAAAAATGGTGCTAACAGCTGCCTCGCTTGTTGCTCAGCATTAAGATGTTAGTGTTAGGACTGGTCAGCCTGGTGTCAGGATAATGTGACTGGGTGGGAGGTCATGCTACATGATGCCTCAGTGGCCGAGTGGTCTAAAGCACTGTCCGTTACGGATCACTGCCATCTCACCTGTCTGTGTGGTTTCAAGTCTAGGATTCATCAAATGTGGATATTTGAGAAAGCTTGCCAGTAGCTTCTCGTGGGTCAGTGGTTCTTTCCGGTGATTTCCTGGTTTCTTCCTCTACCATTAATACTGGCCGCCATGAATAGCCTATTGTGTGCTGAAAAATGGTGTTAAGCCCAATACCAACAACCTAGTATTAGCATGACCCACCAAGAGGAATAAATATCAGTTTGATAAATTATGCATATCAGTTATTTTCTAGTTTAATTTAACACAGGTTAGAAAAAATGCATTTAATCACTGTTTCTGTAAATTGTGGTGCCTACTAAAAACATTAGAAATAATGACCATATTAAAAATAATATAAAATATAAACAGGTGGATAAGTATGAAGTAAAGTATTTATGTGAGGTATTAAAACTGCACCTTTTAAAGCCCCAATTACTCCATTTATCATAAATTTCATGATTCTTACAAAGTTTGAACAGAATGAAATGATTTGTTAAAAAAGCAATCTGATAACTTTTCTTTGAAATAATCAAGATATTAGAATTTGTGCTTAATTCCAATCTTTTAAAGTGTGCTCCAAAAGTAGTGATGTGACACATCTGACAAATGACATTAATGAATAATCTAATAACTTTTGCACATGGTGCACAGACTGATTTGAAGAATAAAACCCATTGCATTTGGTTCATAATAATTGTTGACTTTAATGAGGTGTTTTTGACTTCATATTTGGTGAGAGAGCCAGCAATAACCCTCAAATGAATCAGACAACACTTGGTGTGTTGGTAGACCCAGGACAGTTAACATTTTGGTACTGCAAACTGCTTCTCTGGTTTTGTAATCAAATATATGTATTATTGCCTGGTATTGAACATTCTTGATTCTATCAACATCCGTAATGTAGCACAAATCCCAGACAACAGTCAAATCATATTCTAACATGTACCTGATGTGTGCAATACACAGTACATTTACATGTCCTGGACAGTGTCTGAGGTTTCTATTAAGAAATGCTAGTGAAGTGTTTGCTTTCTTAGTAGATTTGATAATATGTGATTCCCACTTGAAGTCCTCAGATAGAGTTAGTCCAAAATAAAGAGTTTTCACTGACATGTTGTAGTAAAAGGTTATTAAAGGTGTAGAAGGGAGATGATTTTGTTGCTTTACTTGTCAGACCCATGAGGTAGCATTTAGTGGTATTGAAAGTTATACCCCAATCAGTCGCCCATTTTTCGAGGGCTTTGAGATAATTCTGGAGGCTATGGTGGTAACTCAAGTTTGGAATTGTTCTGTAAGGTAGATACCATCTGCAAACAACCGTACCTGAGATTTCACACAACCTAGGATATGGTAAAGTAAAAGAAGTGGTCCCAGCACAGTTCCTTGTAGGACACTTACACCACTCTGGTAGTTTGTAGTCGCACAATCTTTTACTGATATAAAAACAGCAAATTCACCATATTAGTCAAAATTACACAAAATGTTGCCATTTAATGTATTAATTTATAATTTTAAACCTGATTGTTGTCATGGGATATCGAAAAGTAACATGGTCATTTTGATGTTTAAGTGTTATATATATATATATATATATATATATATATATATATATATATATATATATATATATATATATATATATATATATAGCAGATGTTGATTTTACTTAGTTTCACAAATAAAGGTCACCCAAGATGAATATATAATCATCATTGATAATTCTTACTTTTTAAATGAAGGTTTTAATTTAAATTTTCTGGGTGGAAACATTTAAAAATTTCAATATTTCGTAACAAGTACACACACCTTAAGTAATTTACAGACTCACATATAATAAGGAGACAGGCATGGATACCACTTTTTTTGCCTTGAAAATAACATATGAATTAATCCTTATTTCTTAAACATGAAAATAACAATAAAAAAAATTAGTAAATGAAACCTCCATATATAACTGATTCATGGTTGAAAATGGTGGTTAGTGGCCAGAAATTTAGAAACATGAATACATGGTAAATAAAAAATAAGCAAAAAAATATACATTACTGAAAATGTGAGTAATGCCTACAAGAGGCAATACAATGTCAAATAAATCTTGTTGAGTGAAATTCAGGTTTTAGTTTTATCATTTAATTCAGTTTTAGTGAATATTCATGCCAGCAATGAGTGATGAATCAGTAGTTTATCATAGTTCTTAGCAAATGTGATTAGCATTAGCAAAGTATGAAAGGAATTAAAATATTAAATAATTAAATATTAAATGCATAAAAATATTAGTTTCACAGATAGTGTTCATTAAGGAGAAGCAAGTTTCAAAGTTTATAAAAATGATTTAAATGAACTTTCAGATATATTGAAAGTAAAGGTAATTTTTGCAAGAAGTGAATGATATCACTATGAACAATAAAACATACAAATGGCTTGTATGGAATTATCTGTGTCAACAGCAGGTATAAACAGCATGGATAACTATGATTGATCTAATTCCATCCCCTCAAACTTTTTGACTTCTTTCAGAACATCACCACCCATTTTTGGGATCATTTCAAATAGCAAACTAAAAACTTTGTTTTTCTCATTTATTAATGAGCAGTCTTCATCCAGAAGCATTTCAATGTCACCAGCAATCTTCAACACATGAAGAAGTGTATTAAGATTCTCAGTTTAACATCTTGGGTCAGCCTGAAACTTGAGCAAAATTGACACATGTTGATGCAATGGGGAGTTCAGTTCTTCTGCCTGGTACTTGCATCCTGTTATGCTGAATGAACTTGTCCATTATACCTGCATATCATTTATCTCTTTCAAAATGCAATGGAATGAAGCCATATTTCTTTTCTTTGCAATTAACATCAATATTTTCATTAAGAAATTCCTTGACAACTTTCTGATGTCCAAACCGAGCTGCATGATACAATGTAGACCCACCATACAATTCTGGAAGATCAGCATTGATGCCAAGTTGTATTAAGAACCTCAGTACATCTACAAAGCCTCTACTCAGAGAATTATGGATAGGAATTAAGCCTTTCATAATCTTTTTGCATCCATGCTTTAAAGATCTGGATTCTGATTGATCTGCATTTTATTCCATCAACATCAAAACTAAATCTTTGTGACTGTACATGGACATGTAATGCATTGGTGAATGGCCCTTATATTTTGCTATGGAATCTGTCATTTTCAAGAAGGATCTTTCTTAAATTTTCTAATCCCATTTCTGAGGATATGTGCAAAGTGGTTTAGTTCAGTTGTCCACTGCTTAGGTTAATATCACAACCCCCTTTTATGAGTTTCTTTGAAATTCCCTCATGTTTGAACATCAATTCAAAATGCAAAGGTGCCACACAATCCTCGTTCTTCTTATTCACCTGGAGATCTGTCTCAAGCAAAGCATTAACGACTTGTGCCTGAATAAACTGGCAGGCTATGTGAAGGCAAGAATTAAATATCTTTATTGTCAGGTTCTTATTCACATCAGGTCCTTTGGCAATCAGGAAACAAACAATATCTTCATGTTCATGAATGATTGCTTGATACAAGGGAGTTTCCTTGTATGGAAGAGACTCGGTATCAATGTTCACACCCTTTATAATGTAAAGCTTCACAAGGTCAAGGAAACCACTTTTGGAAACCAAAGCAAGGCATATGTTGTACATAGCATTCTCCTGATTAATATATGTTCTTCAGAAGAGGTCTTCAACAATATCCTTATTTCCTGCAATTGTTCTGATGAAAGCATCACTTGTGATTGCTACACCCTCTTTTATCAGCAATTAGTACGCTGCAGAAAACATGACTTTTTCTGTTCTTTCTCCCATTTTTGTCACCAATTCGATACAAAGTCTCTTTTCCAACATTCTTCTCACAAATTAAATTTTAGTGTATTTTTCTCGAGTGTGTTAAAGATTAGTGCTAAGATCAGAGGGGAGACAACGAGGTGAACGATGCATGTTCTCATCCGTCCACACGTTGACAGACAGCGAGCGGGACATTGGCCGCTAAGTTTTATTGGATCGGTTCACGGCGACAGTCGGAATTGAGATAGAGGGTGCGATTATAATTTAGATCCGAATTATAATTTTCAGAACTCTAAGAAAACCTTTACTGACCCGGGAAGACAGTTGAGCAAATAGGGTTACTCTGAGAGAGCCACTGGTATTTGGGCAGTAAAATTTAGGGGTAGATTCTAAGGAAAGAAAATGCTTTATAAAAGGTAGAGAATTATATAGATTGTTAGCTTGTGGTCAGAATTAATTTGGTAATTTGCTATTAGGGTACATTGTTGTAAACTTGTGCATTTATTAATGCATTGTGTTAAAATTTAAGCATGCTTAATTTGTGAGTTGAAAACTGGTTAAGTATGTAAGATTAGTTGCTATGGACGTATACGTTTATCAGAGCATTGATATTTTAATATTTGTGTAATTTGTATGAGTGGAAGGTAAATGAATGCGTCTGATGATTATGTTGTTTAGTATAGCGGGATGATGAATATGTAGTGATGTGATAGAATTTATTGACGTGTGTATAAGAAGTAATTCATGCTGTGCTGTATTATGACGTTTGTTGTACCATCCAAGAACGTATGGGTATCTCGATGTAAATGAATGCGTGACCGAAGAAATTTAATAGCCGTTTTATCTGACGATAGTCTGTGTGCAGTGAGAGATTAGATGTCTAAGGAAAAATATTGTACAATCTTTGTGTTTTCATTTAGACCTTTTTAGGGGACAGAGAACTTCCGGTTCAATTGAGACCCGAGTCTCCAAGAGGTGGACTAAGACTAGCCGAAAAGTCGAAGTCGACAGA